AGTACTTTGAGAAAGGGTTGAATATTTACAGATTCAATTTTCCCAAAGATAAATTTGTCAACGCATAGCCATCGCCTGCTTATTGAACTAGCTACAGAGTCTAGCGACGGATATGTGGCCGAAATATGGCTGCTTCTGCTCAACGTTGAATCAACTCACCGTTCATCATTCATAGGTAAATATATGAGTCCAATTTCATGGGGAAGAAGCACGAGGCTGAAGTCTTGTCACATTGTCTTGCAAAAACTTGACAACTTCGGCTGATGGCAGCGGACAGACATCAGTGACGCACCATAAGCTACAGAGATTATGCCAGAAACAAAGAACGTCCTAAGAACCACAAATCGTTTTCTCCTTTGTCCAAGTGCAGACGGCCAAAAACCAGTTAACCTCATTACTGAATACTTGTTTCCATGATTAGACGCAGTGCTCAGTGGCTTATTGCACCTCACCGTACCCTAGTGATGACCCTGGTGTTTGGCGTTGAAACGTGTTGGTGCCATTAAAAGCAATTTTAACGTGATTTTACTTCTTCGTTTGCCCTAAACAATGAGTCGAACAGTTACCTCTTAGTCGAATACGATGACGTCCCGGATTGCTGCTTTCAGGGGCAATGTCCACCACCACCGTTAGCCAATCTATCTTCCACTGTTTCTACTTGTACACTACTGACCAAGAGAGAACTTCAACATCATTTATGACAATATGCCGCCTGACCTAATCAATTTTTTGAGGAGAAAGGAGTTTCTTCTCTCATTTTCATCTAATGAATGAAATAATCTTCGCTACTGGTGTTTCCAGGGTTTCACAGAAAGTTCAACTACCCGCATTTTCGAGTTGGAAAGCGTATCACTGCTATGGCATATTAGATCGAACGATAAACTGCGGAAAATGAATTTTTACTTATATATTTATATTGTCATAATTGAGTCAAACACGTTGTGGCCAGCTTAAAATTGGGAAGTTCAACAGTGAGTCATTTTCAAGGAACCACCATGTACTGAACGATTGATGGTAATGAGTATTTATGTTTCAGCGACAGTGAAATGAGCTCGACTGATGACAGAAGGGATAGAATATCAGATCGCTACTGCACGCGTTTCAGCATTATTTAATTAGTACTGTACCTTCTCAGACAAACGACTGACGAGGAAATTTCGATATTTTAAATTTTGAATCAATGAGAATGCTTCTTTAAACTTTTGATTTTTGATAATTTAGGGGCAGGAGGGAGATTCAGTGGAACTCTTATTGCAGGGCTACGCAACTAGTGGCCAAAGAACAGAAATAGGACTAAATTGATTGATTATATCGACCATCTGATTATTATCATATGTCGACGTCTAGCCCTGAGGAGCTCACCCCAAGCCCGGGACCGTTAGGAAATTCTTGGGCATTTCTCTGTCTTCAGCTCTACATTCATTAAATATTTCACATAGAGCATTTCAATCATACTCTGTAGAAGAGAATTAAGCTCCGCAAACCTTTTGTTGGTCCGCTGTATAACATGTGTTAAACTCTCTATGTCTGATAAGCACCTTTTACCTTCTGGGATATCATACTGTTTTTGTATGATATCTGATCCAGCGCCACTGTTCAGCTTTCGATATTGCGATTTGGCTGGTTGATGATTGACCAAGATTTCCCATGAAAATTATGACTTCTGATTAGTTCATCCTTCAGGTCAAAAAATCCATTCTTTTACGAGGAGGAATAGGGTCATGAATGGACTTAAATTTGAGACTTTTTTGGCCCTCTCCCAAATGTAATCATTTCGAAAGTACCACCGCACATAATCTAGACTCAGGAAAAGTAAAAAGTCACTTCTTTCACCTCGGCAATCTGTGCCTTCAATTCGTTATTTTTCACAAGCAACGCGTTCAGCTTCTCCTGGTTGAAGCTCAGATTCCCATCCCCAAAATAATTTTCTTCAGTGAAGTTCGGCTCGAAGAACACATGCTTCATCTATGAGCGAAAAACGCGGTCAAAATCTTCTCGTCATTCACATTTTTCGTTTACCTTCGGAACGAATAACAATCCCATAGATGTGAACGTGCACAGAATGATGGTCACGGCACAGAAGGCAAAGTTTGCATCCGGCTGTGAGGTTATGATAAGCGCGACGGGGCCCGTAATACAGCACAGAATCTATGCATTAAAATCAATCGATATTCCACAAGGTAAACGAACTTTGTTTAAACTTAAATACCGCGACATTATAGATGGCCATGCTGACAAATCGTGAGTCGTTCATCTGCTTGGTTTTCATATTCCTCGCTTCGTAGGCCAGAAAAAGACCGAACAGCAGCAAAAATCCCTTGTAGGAGTAAATGAGTCCTGAAGCAAGTAACAAGTACAGTTAGCGTTAAAGAAGTTCTAATTTTTATCCGTAAAGAACCTCAGTCAAGGTGACAATTGATAGTTTTAAAAATGATGCTCTGTTGAATATATTGACCCATTCTAGGAACTGCCCTAGTTCTTTCCGAGCACTGGATACTGTACGTAGAAAAAAATTGAGTCTTGTCATAGTTTTCGAGAAACTCCTTGCATAAACTTCGAACATTTTCACTGTAAATATGCGCGATGAAAATTCAGTCTGGCAATGTTTAAAGGATGGAACCACTTCTCTGGAGGGATGGAACATTCTTAAATTGTCTCTACCCTTCAGTCGGTCCGGTCTGAAAGACCTGAAAAGTAGTAAGTTTCTTTGCTTCAGTCAGCAGTGTCATTAGGTTCATGAATATGCACAACTCTTCAATTAAAATAGCATTCGAAAATAGAGATCAGCCTAAGATGGCTTGACCCGTGGTAGGGACACCAGGGAAGAGATTCATCAAGCTACATTTACATTTTGCATGGCCATAGCGCAACTGACACAGAAGGATAAACTAATGGTTGGACGGCTCGGCTCGGGCATACGTGAGTGGCAATGTCGGACCTTGGAATTCAGTGAGAGGCGCTTTGTCACTTGACAGAAAAACGGGAGTTTGAGGCAGATCTCTTAAGCTGCTGGCCCCTCCCCTCCCATCCCTACCTCTCTTCCAGGCTATCTGAGATGAGATACTGGACGGGAAGTGGTTGGATGGAGAAACAGAGAGAAGTTGACAGTCTATGTTTGCATGAAAGTTCAGTCAACAATCAGGCTTAGTGGCATTGTGGCGGTTAATTACTTTCCGGAAAGGCGATGAAGGCTGCACAAGCATCATGTTTACCGCGAGTTATCTCAAGCGCACTGACTTGCATTCCGATGTGGCATACGATAGATGGCACGGCCAAAATTCTGTAAATTGATTGGCTTACTGATGCAAGACTAGGAAGGAACCGCCTGCTACAAAAATTTCCTTGTCGCACTGGCGAAAAACCAGGAATAATCTGTATATTTCAGCAAACTCATTGGCAGTACAAAATGAGTATCTTTACATCATCCGAATCAACTGGACCGGCCGGTAATCGGCGGCACTTGCACCGGTCACACCAGGTCCGCTTTTCCTCACGGTTTAGGGCTTCTCCCTCCAAAGGCTGCCCCTTCAGAAACCTAATGTAATTTTCCAGCCGTAGTGGTCGTCGACCAATCGGCCAAGTCAGTCTGTAACGATATCAGTCGATCATCTTCCATCGGTAGTCCAAGCGACGTTCCCTGCCAACCGCAAGTTGCTCCCATCAGCTTTAGACGAAGGCGTCCTTCACCCCCATTCCTAGTTTGATAATCGTTGCTGGCGTTGTGCTCTCAACGTGAGATTCTCAACATTCTTCTGTTCGTGGCTCTCTCACTGACAAAGAGCTGGAGCTCTGGCTTTCGTGAGTGACCTCTTCTCACAACATCGCTGGTAGGACCATAGAGTCAAAGAGGTGGGCACGGACATCTTACTTGAGGTTGCCGACGATGATCTCGATGGGACGGCGTGCGCCTCAACCGGTCCTCTTGTTCTAAGAATCTCTCCCTCCTGTTCATAAAGTACTTTGATCTCTTGGCCTAAGTAAATGTGTTATCAACTTGGGTCATTTCACGTTTAACACTCTTCTCTCGGGAATTCACGGGTTGGATGTCGAGCAGCATGATGACTGCGAAGCAGCCAAAGTTCGCTACCTCCAACAGGGCAACGAGCGTCGATACCTTGTTCTGCCAGTGCACCGCGTTAAACTCGATAGTGTTTGAATGCTTTCTCTTAGCCAATGAAAGAGATGCACAAAGGGAGTTGTCATTACGTCACACGCTAGACGAGTCGATTTAAAGTAAAAACATTATCCGTGGCGCTGCACCGCCTTCGGAATCCTGCATGTTCTCTTGGCTGATGCACATCTGTGGTTCTTTCATGGAAATGAAGTGCGTGTAATGCAGTCACAGTAGATAGTTATTCGATCTTCATAACCGTTATATCGACATAAGGTGGCTGCAACATTTGAAATGCTCCACTGCAGTCGAACATGATAGCCTCCTTCTCCTCTTCGTCACGCAAAGAGTGACAGAATGCTGCACATTCAAGCAGTCGGCCCATTTCAGACTGGCTTCTTCAGTGGCAAAGACAAAAGAGAAATGATCTCCAATTCGGTTTTGTTGGCATCTCGAGAAAGCGGAAATCTGTTCTTTTTAAGGGAATGACCTCGTGCTGGGAACTGTTAGCGTTTGCAAGCAGCATAGGTTTTCTCTAACCTTGTAATAATTCACAAATATGTGCAGTGTTACGTTGCGCTGAGCGAAAATGCAAAGGTGAGCTAGGTCATCTAGCCCGACAACCGCAACAACGGCATAATCATCTTTTTATTTTCAAGACTCGCTTCATTTGGCGTTAAGACATATTAAATAATGTCCAGAAAACCATAACTTTTGAAATCTGCTAATTATAATAGATAATATCCTATCAGTCATTGATCCCTACTCCTATAATAAATTTTGTTAAGACGTCGATAATAATAGAGACGGTTATGTTGAT